AGGGAGGGGAGAGAGGGAGGAGGGAGGGAGGTTTCGGTAATGGGCCACAATAAGCAACCACATGGTAAATTGACAAAAATAAAATAAAATTTAAAAAAAGAAAATAGACTTACAATTGTGGCAATATAAAGATAATGAAAGAATGTCATCTTCAAGCATTTTGAGTCAATATGAATGAAGTCTATATGCTAACAGAATAACTTTAACACATTTAAATGCAGAAATTACACTAGTAAGATTCTATAATTGAAAAAAGAAATATTGATAATCACAGGAATTAGTCATACCGAGTTGATTGCATTTGGATTGGCTCCTTTTTCCAAAAATGTCAGGCACACCTCTTTAACATCATGTGCTTCCTCACAAGCTCTAAGGAATATTGGTTTTCCTTCATAGGTAGAATTGTTGACATCTGCACCATGTTCCAGGGCAATCAGAGCACAGCGATAATGCCGCTTAGTAGGTAAAATACAGTAAAACAAAACACCTGCAGGAAAATAGAATCCCCGAAGAGTATTTAATTAGCAATCTATGTACATTTGAATCTGAGAAGAAAAAAAAAATGATAATTTAAAAATCCACAAATAGCTAAAGATGGTAGAGCAAAAGCATATCTGCCTTGGTTTCTGCTCTGAAGCCAACTAAAACACCAAGACATCAATCTCTGATCAGAGTTAGAAAACAGTCACAACCAAATATGACCAGATCTATATGCTAACAGAATAACTTTAACACATTTAAATGCAGAAATTACACTAGTAAGATTCTGTAATTGAAAAAAGAAATATTGATAATCACAGGAATTAGTCATACCGAGTTGATTGCATTTGGATTGGCTCCTTTTTCCAAAAATGTCAGGCACATCTCTTTAACATCATGTGCTTCCTCACAAGCTCTAAGGAATATTGGTTTTCCTTCATAGGTAGAATTGTTGACATCTGCACCATGTTCCAGGGCAATCAGAGCACAGCGATAATGCCGCTTAGTAGGTAAAATACAGTAAAACAAAACACCTGCAGGAAAATAGAATCCCCGAAGAGTATTTAATTAACAATCTATGTACATTTGAATCTGAGAAGAAAAAAAATGATAATTTAAAAATCCACAAATAGCTAAAGATGGTAGAGCAAAAGCATATCTGCCTTGGTTTCTGCTCTGAAGCCAACTAAAACACCAACACATCAATCTCTGATCAGAGTTAGAAAACAGTCACAACCAAATATGACCAGACCTGGTTTAAGGAAGAATTGGAGTGCTGATATGTGAGCCCTCGTCAACTCCGGGTATTCGGCATCTTGCAGTCTGCACCCCAGGTGACCCTTCCTGGAGTGTGCAGGGCTCTGTATATAAGCAAGGCCTACTGGTATGTCCTGCGTCCCTGCTGAAACTCCAGAATGATGAAATATGCTGACTGTCCACGTTTGTAAGAAGCAGGCTGTCTGTATAGTAGCAGTGAGAGGAAAAACTAGGTGGGAAGTGGCTCTGCCATTTGTTCCACTGAAGAGAGAAAAATGCTAAATCCTCATACCCAGGACCTATAACATATGGATCCTCAACATAATCCATGTCAAAAACGTATTACAGATCAGGGGTATTGTTATAATCCTAGGGCAGAGTGTTGATAAGAAAGTCTTGGGTAAATAACAGTCAAACTTCGAACTGATTTTGTAATGAGCTCAGTCCAAACAGAGGCTTCATTCAAAGAGGAACAATAACCAAACAAAGAAACAAAATCTATCATGTGATCTATGAAAATGACACTGCAAGAAAGGTAAGGAAACTGACAATGAAAGCCAGGCAAAAAGTATATACTAGAAAAACTATACCAATGAAAGTTATTGACTGACTCAATTCTGTGACAGCAAAAAAATTAAATATAACTTGTTCTAAAATACAAGTGCAAAGATAGACCAAGACCTAAATGAAGAACAGACAGAATGATAGAAGATAAATAGAAGGAAAAGATAAAATTAAACTAGCAGAACTTAGGAAAGAAATGGTAGAAAAAATAAAACCACTAAAGAAATAAAAGTCAAATTGGAAGCAGGAAAAAGGAGAGTGGACACTACCAAAACCATGAACAGGGACATGCAGGAAAAACTTGAAAAAATTAAGAAAAATGTATTTGAGATGATGGAAAAGTTTAAATGGTCTTTAGTGGCAAGGAAAATTTAACATATAGATAATTGGTGTTCAATAATAAAAGACAAAACAAAACAGAAAAATTATATTGAGATATAATAGAAAAAAACTTTCTTGAACACCTGAGTCTGAAGATTAAAAGGGTATACTGGGTCTTAGGAAAAGATGATTAAGAGCAATGAACAAGACATGCCTAGGCATGTGTGTGAGCATCCAGGCAAAAATTCAACTCTATAAAGAGTAAAAGTCAGGCTGACTTTAAGAATTTGCCACAGCAACGTTTAATGCTAGATAATAATTAAAGGATCCTTACAATGTCACTTGGGAAAGAAAATAGGGAATTTTTGTATCCAGTCAAGCCGTTTTTCACATATAAAAGTGACAGCCATACATAAGCTTAAGATGCAAGAAATCAGGGATATAAGCCCAAAGAAGTTAGCTAAAGTGGGGAAAAAGTGAGTCTACCAGGAGAACAACAGAGCATATGTGACTTAAAGAACAATGATAGATGCTGAATCTCTTCAACCACAGAACCAAAGCTAAATCACCTTAGGAATTCTGGATACAGAAAAGAATGCTGTAATGCATAATAATGTAGAAATAACAATGTAATTTAACAAACATTTGGAGGGAAGAGAGAGAAGGATAGATAGTATAATCATTTGATTTTCTTGTCTTTTACTTCTGGAGCTCGAGGTACTATTTAAAGCAGACAAGGAGATAAAGTAAGTGACAGGTATAAAGAAAATCATTGAAAGAACTAAGTGATTATAATTGACTGTGAAATCCGGTGGTGGAGGGGAGGTACATGAGGTGAGAGGAAGGGTCTCTGTACTAATCTCATCTTTCATAGTAAAGAATCAATGAATACATTGTAAGGTGCTTATTCAATAAACAGAATTTGAAGGGTATGTAAAACTATCAAGTTACTCATTAATTTTAGAAAATACAACTAGAAGAAGACACACACACAGCAAAATAAAACAAAATATACAAACCATAGAGGAAAATATTTTATATATATTTTTATGTGTTAGATTTATTGTATCTTTATAATATAAAATAAATGACAGTTCTGAAGCCAAACCTAGGGGACACCTAGATAAATACAAACTGCATACATTCTACCATTAAAATAAAAAATACATAATTTATATGGAAATCAAAACCTAAATATATTTCATATAAACAGGTGCATCTAAAATAGGTTTACTCAGAACAGTTTAAAAAGACGGTCAAGGACATAGTTGAAAATACAAAGTCAAAGACAGAAAAAGACATAGAGGGTAAGAATGGATCAAAACAGCAACAACATTGACAACAAGTAAACAACTAAACATAGTAGCAGATGAGGCTGATTTCATTAGAATAGGCCCTAAGGTACTTATGAAATGGATATTTTATAATGATGGTGTGTACAACTCACAGTTAAAGTCTATTTGGGGGCCAACCCTGTGGCTCACTCGGGAGCGCTGAGGCTGCGGGTTTGGATCCTATATAGGGATGGCCGGTGCACTCACTGGTTGAGCCCGGTGCGGGCGACACCAAGCCAAGGTTTACGATCCCCTTACCAGTCACCAAAAAAAAAAAAAAAAAAAAAAAAAAAAAAAAGTCTATCTGGGCTGATGCTAAGCCACAAAGAACATGAATCAGCATTCCAAAACTAAAGGAAAAAAGAAAAAAATTCTATCTTATAATAGAACTGGCATACTGCATATAGGACTGGGCATGCATTCCTATACATGGGAGAACCAGTGGAATGGGTGCCTTTATAAGGAACTATTCTAGCTTAACTCTTAAAGAGAATAATTTCAGACACTGTCATTAATTCCCCAGGACAACATACAGGAGAGAATTTATTGCCTTAGAGTTTTACCTTCTTCATATTCTGTTAAGTTGTTCACAGAGAAAAGTACAGCTTAGTCTGAGAGCGTGTCTCACATCCTTCTAAAGATCCATTTCATCATTTAAATGTTTGCACAGTGTGCAGTGGGTCAAACATCAGTCACTGGAAAATAGGATATTAATGGCAGAGAGACTACTGTGGAATAAGCAAAGCAATTTGGCAAGTGGCCACCAAACTGAGGGATGTACAAGGTGGGCTAGGCTCACTGATGAGGGGAAGAGACAAGGTACTCCATGCCATGGGCTTACCCAGGGTTACGCAGAGTCAGGGCTGTAGATAAGGTTACGTGTGAAACAAGATTTTACATTTTCTTCAAGTTTCACCTTATAATTTCAGTTCTTCCCACATGATTTGTCTGTTTTCTCATGCAATCATTGACAGATTTAATAATAATTTGAATGAGCATAGATATTAACCATATAGCTTCTGCATTTGCTGCAAATATTTACTTCCCCTGGTTTCTAATTTCACCTTGATTTTTTTTTTTAAATTACAGTTTTAGATTTTTATGCTATAGACTTTAGAAATTTATTTTGTGTGTGATTTCTATCTCTGTTTAAAACTCAAGAAAATAAACTTTGCTCCTTTAGGGTGTTCCCCAAAGTTTATTCAACAAACTCCAGGTATAAAAAATGCTGTAAGAAAAAAACTATCTCATGGTCAAATAAATATGGAAAATGTCACTGTCTTTGGTCCAGCAATGTGAAAAAACATGTCTAAGTTTGTTTTATCCAATGTTTCTCTAATGAATTCAACAGTGGAACCAATTACTTCTCAACATCTGGGTGATTTAGAGGTCCACAGAACACACTTTGGGAAATAGTATTCTACGGAGCTTCGGGAAGCTCTCGGGTTTTTGTAGGATTTAACATTTTAAAACACATTTAACCCCTGACTGCATCTGAAGTTCATTTTGTTATGTGGTCTATAAAATAAATAATTCTTTCATTTTTCCTCTTCTCCTACTGTGAGCAAGTCGTCTATCAAATACCAAGTCTGGAGAGAGTTACAAAAATAGATTGTGCTCTTGTCAGAAAACATTAACATTGTGAAATGGGATTCATTTCTTTAGTATAGGGCTGATGTTCATGGCTTTGTACTTGTAGCAAATCTTTGGGACAACTGATTAAATCTATCAATTTATGTTAAGTGTGATGGTAATTAGTGAATCTTATGAGGCTGTGTCAACTGTTGCCTGAAACTCAAGATATTTAGGCAAGAAGCTTCCTCCCCTTAAGATGCAATTCAGGAGAGGGAGAGGGTGTGAAAGTGCAGCTACATCACTTGAATAATCATTGAAGTGCCGTCTAACATTTCAAGTCATATTTCCACATACGTTAAAAAATGACACTAGAAAGTTGGAGTCTATGCCAGAATCCACCTTAGTCCTTTCAAGTTCTCAAGTGCAACTTCCTTCTACATCAGACTGCTATCAAGAGGGGACAAAATCCTTCTGAAGTCCTAAGACTGGTACTACCCCCATGGTTTTAAAGTGTAAAAAAGAATAAGAAATTCTCTCCCTCATCTTTTGTTCTAAATAACATTTTATGTTTTATAATGGATTATGATTATGGTAATATCAATGTGTGTAATGCTGAACATTCTCCACATTTAAAAGAAACCACCAAATACAAATTAATCTAAATTTCTTTTCAGGTGAATGAGCTCTTAGAACTGGTTTCCCTAAGAAATACCTATACCATTTTCAAATTATGAAGAGGCAGTATCCTTAGGTACAGAAGTGAAAAATCTAGCCTTTCCCTTAAAACCATGAGTAATTCATGAGTAATTTCCCAAGTTGGAAAACAAAAAAGTCAACTTTATTGATCTCTGTCTATAAAGTGAATTGCATCTTGCTGGATAGAATGTTGGTGTTTTTACCTTTTCCTTCATTATCGACTATAGTCATATCAGCTTTTGCGTTGGCTAATATTTCCATGGATAAATCATGGCCCAGTTCTGCAGCTCTCATTGTTGGAGTACAGCCCATTCGGTCTCGTACATCAGGGTGAGCACCGAGTTCAAGGAGAAAACTGACCATGTCAATGTCATTGGAAACCGAGGCTAAGTGCAGAGCACTGAGTCCATTGACGGGTTCTGTGAAATTGATTAGTTCAGGGTATCCAAGCTTGGTCAGCTTCTTTATCTGCTTCTTGTCTTTGTTCCGAACGCACTGAAGAACTTTGTAGATCTGTAAGTTCTCAAGTCTCTTATCTGCTAACGCCATGCTTGACCAACTTCTTAAAAATGCTTTCTGGACCCAAACAAAAACTATAGCAACAAAAAAAAGAAAACAACTCAGAGTTAATTTTATCATCTTCATTTTGATTAAATAACAATATTTTTTAAATTCTCTAAGAAATGAAGCTGTTTCTTATAAATTGTTATTATCATAATTTATTGCTACTGACTTCAGAAAGTAGGAATTATACATAAATACAAAAAAAATTCAGCTGGCATAAGTTGAAATATTTTAAAACACATCTTCCATCATAATACTTGTTTGCTAGATGATTTTCTTTCTTTTTTAATTCAAAATATCTTAATATTTACTTGTACATATTTGTAGGCTATAGTATGTTGTTTTAATACATGCAGGTACTGCACAATGATTCACTTAGGGTAGATGGCATAGTTTTGTACCCATTAGTCTACCACTTCTTGTTTCTCATTTAACCTTCCTCCTTCACTGAAGCTTTCCCATTTCAGCCCTGCAGAAGGTGAGGTGAACTAAATTGCCCAGGTAAGGAATTGAGCCCCCATCAATATGGCTTCCCTATCAGCATGTTCCCCACAATGTAGAGACCATACAGATATTAGTTATTAAAAATATGATAAAAAGAAGCTTCTGGTCAAGGTGGAGGAGTAGACAGTTCCTAGCGCCACTCTCTCCCACAAATCAACCAATTTGCAATGATTAAAAAGCAACAACAGGAGGCCCGAGGGCTGTGCCAGAACAGGATGGAGCTGTGTGCCATGGGACTCCCAGCCCAGGCCAGTGCCCCCTGCGCAGACAGGCCTGAGAGCTGCCAGGCCCACATGCCCCAAGTCAGCCATACCGGAAGAGGCAGGAGCCATGGGATCTCCAGCCCAGGTCAGTCCCCACCACTTACAGAGGCCTGAGAGCCACTGGGTCCACATTCCCCTAGTCAGCTATGCCAGAACAGGCAGGTGCCGCAGGACCCCCAGCCCAGGCTAGTTCCCACTGCCCAGAATTGGCAGTCCCTTCAGGATCCAGGCCAGACATCAGGGTAGAACAAGTGGACTGTGATACCCACTGCCACAATGACTAAAATCCAAGGGAAAGATACCAGAAATATGAAAAATCAAGAAAGTACATCACCACCAAAGGAAAATAGTAACTCTCAAGTTCTAGATCCTATAGAAGAAGAAGTCCTTGAAATGACTGACAAGGAATTTCAAGCAACAATTCAAAGGAAGCTAAACGAGATACAAGAAAATTCAGTTAGACAAAACAGTGAAATGAGAAAAAATATACAGGATCTGAAGTAAGAAATGTACAAAGAAATCAATGCCCTGAAAAAGAATGTAGCAGAGCTTGTGGAGCTGGAGGATTCATTCAACGAAATAAAAAACACAACAGAGAGTCTTACCAGCAGGCTAGAACAAGCAGAAGAGACAATTTCTGACCTTGAAGACAGGTTAATTGAATTAACACAGGCAGACCAGAAAAAAGAAAAAAAGAATTAAAAAAATTGAAGAAAGTCTAAGAAAGATAACAGACAACCTTAAGCACTCAAATATCCAAATCATGGGTATTCCAGAAGGGGAAGAAAAAGGAAATGGCATTGAAAACATATTCAATGGAATAATAGCAGAAAACTTCCTAGGTATAGGGAAAGTCACAGATCTTCAGATTCAGGAGGCCCAAAGATCCCTAAACATATTCAACGCAAAAAGATCCTCAAGCATATTCAACCTGTCCAAGACATGTTATAATCAAACTGGCAAAACTCAAAGACAAAGAGAGAACCTTAAAAGCTGCAAGAGAGAAGCAGCAAGTCACATATAAGGGAGCCCCAATCAGACTAACATCAGACTTTTCATCACAAACCCTAAAAGCCAGAAAAGAATGGGATGATATATTCAAAATACTAAAGGACAAAAATTTCTAGCCAAGAAGACTTTACCCAACAAGGCTATCCATCCAGAAAGAAGGACAAATAGTATATTTCCCTGAAAAACAAAAACGGTGGGAGTTCACTACCACATGACCAGCCTTACACGAAAATCTCAATGGAGTTCTGGGTTTGATACCTGAAAAACAACCATCACTGCCATGAATATTCAAGAAAGAGCAAAACCCACCAGTAAAACAAAAATGCTAACAATAAAGAGAAAAAATTGTTTATCTACCACCCCAAGAAACCAACAAATACAGAAGACAAACAGAAAATCAGAAAGAAAGGAACAAAAGACACTTAAGACATTTAAACAAAAATCAATAAAATGCTTGAAGTAAATCAACACCTGTCAATAATAACTCTAAATGTAAAGGGATTAAATTCCCCACTCAAAAGACACAGACTGACTGACAGGATTAAAAAGATGAACCCAACAATATGCTGCCTTCAAGAGACTCACCTCACCTGTAAAGACACACATAGACTAAGAGTGAAAGGATAGAAAAAGATTTACCATGCAAACAGAAATGAAAAATGAGCTGGAGTAGCTATTCTTATATCAGATAGAATAGACTTTAAACTAAAAACCATAAAAAGAGATAATGAGGGCCACTACATAATGATAAAAGGATTGATCCATCAAGAAGACATAACAATCATAAATATATATGCACCCAGTGTTGGAGCAGCCAGATTTATAAAGCAATCACTATTAGACCTAAAGAATGAGATAGATATTAACACCATAATAGTGTGGGACCTGAACATCCCACTCTCAACATTGGACAGATCATCTAGGCAAAAAAACAGCAGAGAAACACAAGATCTAAACAATACATTAGACCAAATGGACTTGGCAGATATCTACAGAACATTCCATCCAACAACCTCAGAATATTCATTCTTCTCATTAGCTCATGGAACATTCTCCAGGATAGATCACATGTTAGGTCACAAATCAAGTCTCAACAAATTCAAAAAAATTGGAATTATCTCATGTACTTTTTCAGACCACAATGGATTAAAATTAGAAATCTACAACAAGCAAAACTCTGGAAACTATACCAACACATGGAAATTAAACAGCATTCTACTTAATGACATATGGGTCCAAGAAGAAATTAAACAGGAAACCAAAAAATTTCTTGAAACTAATGAAAACAATGATACATCATACCAAAACCTGTGGGATACTGCAAAAGAAGTACTGACGGGGAAATTTACCGCATTAAATGCTTACTTCAGAAGAATGGAAAAATGGCAAATAAACAACCTAATACTTCACCTTAAAGATCTAGAAAAACAAGAACAATCCAATCCTAAAGGTAGTAGACAGAAAAAGATAAGGGAGATCAGAGCAGAACTAAATTAAATAGAAACCCCCAAAATGATACAAAAGATCAATGAAACAAAAATTTGGTTTTTTGAAAAGATAAATAAAATTGACAAACCTTTAGCAAGGCTCACTAAGAAGAGAGAAAACCCAAATAACAAAAATTAGAAATGAAACAAGTGATATTACAACTGATACCTCAGTAATACAAGGAATCATTAGAGGCTACTATAAACAACTATATGCCAACAAATTTGAAAATCTGGAGGAAATGGATAAATTTCTAGACACACACAAACTACCAAAACTGAGCCAAGAAGATAAAGAAAACCTGAACAGACCAATAACAATAAAAGAGATTGAAGCTGTTATCAGAAGGCTCCCAACAAAGAAAAGCTCAGGACTGGACAGGTTCACTGCAGAGTTCTACCAAACCTTCAGAGAGGAACTGATGCCAATTCTCTACAAACTAGTCCAAAAGACTGAAACAGAGTCCATTCTCCTAAACTCATTCTATTAGGCAAACATCACCCTGATACCAAAACTAGAGAAAGAAAATACATCAAAAATAGAAAACTGCAGGCCAATATCCTTGATGAATATAGATGCAAAAATCCTCAACAAAATACTAGCTAACAGTATACAGCAACACATACACAAAATTATCCAACATGATCAAGTGAGATTCATGCCAGGGATGCAATGTTGGTTCAACATATGCAAATCAATAAATGTGATACACCATGTCAACAAAAGCAAAGACAAAAGCCATATGATCATCTCTATAGATGCTGAAAAAGCATTTGACAAAATTCAACATTCATTCATGATACTCTCTACAAGTTAGGTATAGATGGAAAGTACCTCAACACAATTAAAGTCATATATGTTAAACCCCCCACTAAAATCATCCTGAATGGGGAAAAGCCAGTTTTTCCCTTAAGAACAGGAACTAGACAAGGATGCCCACTCTCACCACTTCTATTCAACATAGTGTTGGAAGTACCAGCCAGAGCAATCAGAGGAGAGAAGGAAATAAAAGGCATCCAAATGGGAAAGGATGAAGTCAAACTGTCCCTGTTTGTGGATGATATGATCCTATATATTCAACAGACTAAAGCCTCTACAAAAAAATTCTTAGAGTTGATAAATGATTTCAGCAAAGTAGCAGGATACAAAATCAACACATAAAAATCAGTAGCATTTCTATACTCCAAGAGTGATCATTCAAAAAAGAAATCAAGAAAGCTAGCCCATTTATAATAGCAACCAAAAAAAAATAAAATACATAGAAATAAAATTAACCAAGGATGTGAAAAATCTCTACAAAGAGAACCACAAACCACTGTTGAGAGAAATTAAAGAGGACACAAGATGGAAAGATATCCCATGCTCTTGGATTGGAAGAATCAACATTGGGAAAATGTCCATGTTACTGAAAGTGATCTACAGATTCAACGCAATCTACATCAAAATTCCAGTGACATTTTTCTCAGATGGAAAAAACTATCCATACTTTTGTATGGAATAACAAAAATCCATGCATAGCCAAAGCAATCCTGAGCAAAAGAAATAAAGCTGGAGGCATAACTCTACCTGACTTTAAACTATATTACAAAGCTATAGTAACCAAAACAGCACGATACTGGCATAAAAACAGACACATGGATCAATGAAATAAAATAGAGAACCCAGAAATCAACCCATACACCTACAGCCATCTGATCTTTGACAATGGCACCAAGTCTACACAGTGGGGAAGAGACTGTCTCTTCAGCAAATGGTGCTGGGAA